GCTAACATTGCTGAAAGTATCTGCATAAAGCTAACTGTACTTCCTCATTTTTCTCTCCAGATCTTACAGAAAAAGCAACACCTACAATCCCATACCTCTCCAGAAAAAAAAACAAAACAACCAAACAAAAACCCCCAAACCCAATACATGATTATTTGTTTCTCAAATCTTGTCTATTTCATTGTTCTCAGCTTTACTTCACTCTCTTTGAGAATATATTATTGAGAATTTTGAGGATATACAGGATTACAACTGAAGTCCATTACTGAAGAAAAACATATCAGTCATACCATCGTGAGTCGGATTTTTTTTACTTTTGATGAGGAAAGTGTACATGGTACAGTTATAATCTACCATTCCCGTGAATAGCTGAAGCAAATACTAGAGAAGCATATCTTGTCAAAAGTGATTAGTTTAGGAAGAATTCATCTGCTATTGAATACTATAGTTTAAAATAACTACAGTCTGACAAGCCATTAACTTCTTGTTATGGCATTCTACAATGAAAAAAAAACAATGACCCTTAAATATAAAGGACTTACGTCTCATGGGTGCCAAAAAAGAAAATAGGCATTTTATTCGTAGGAGGCTTTACTGCTCCATCAGGAACTTCATCCACCTAAGGGAAAGACAGATTAAGTCAAGTAACAGTTAAGAACAGTCTAGGAGAAAATAAGTTAAAGTGTTAAAATGTTAAAAAAGAAAAAAAAAAAAGTCTTGAGAGAATTAAAACAGGCCTCAAGACCTCTTTTTAACTATATGTTAAAAAATACAGCAGAATCAAAACCAATATTAGCAGCAATAGGAAATGGCAACATCTCTCATGTTACAGCAACACTTTCCACATGATCCCTTTCTAAAAAAGGACACACATGATGTGCTACAGGTAAAAGGCACAATTCAACTACATCCAAGCACCACCCTCCTTCAGCATAAACGATAGCCTTCCTACCCTTATGCTAAGCTGGTAATTTGCCCAAGCCCAAATGTCAAGCGCTACAAAAAGGAAAAGTCAGTAAAGTTTTTAAAAAACAATTCTTAAGCCAGCATTTTAGTTGGGTACATCATAATTAGACTTTTAGCTACATTTTCACGACTGTCCAATGACCTACTGCAGTCACAGAACTTGCCATGCCTCTTGCAAGTGAGCACGGAGAACGCAAAAAAGGACAATTTATCACATACACTTAGCTTAGTCTACAGAATGCGCTGTAGTAACTGCTGACTATAAAAGTAAAAAGTAACCCTATAATTTCACGGTTTTCTTTCGTCAAAAAAGAGCAGTTATTTAGGAACAGTACTTTTGTACAGTCAGGTGCTTCCACAGTCCCAGCGTCATGCTACCACCCAGAAGTCTTCATCTCTAGAAGCCAAACTACGAAATTAGGACAACTAACGACTACTGGAGGAAGAAGCGACTTTCGGACAAGCGTAAGGCAGCAGCAGCACACCGGAGTGCCGGGCCGGAAGCCGCTTGCCAGCGGGGGGGCGCGGTAGCGCCCTCCCCCTCACAGGGTGCGGGGGGTCTGGAGAATCAACGCGGCTTAACCGCACCGCTGCTCGCGGTGTCCGAGACCGCCGATGGCAACACAAAGCTCGTACGGCTGGAGGGGAGCGGAGGAAGCGGGTGCAGAACAGCGCGGAGGGCGGGTACGGAGCGGGAGAGCGTCGCGGCCTGCGAGGGAGTGGGGGGGGCGGGTGCCTTACCCTGGCTGGCCAATGGGGATAACCTTTCATCTTGGCAAAGATCAAGTCTCCGGGTTTGAAATCTCGGCTCATGTTTTCTCAGCGACGTTTCTCTTGCCGCCAGGCGAACTGTGCCGAGGGGAGGGGTCTGCACCTCCAGCTCCTGTCTCTT